TGCTGCAAGACGTGTCCTCTCTCTCTCTCTCTCTCTCTCTCTCTCTCACTCACACTCTCTCTCTGTGTCTCTGTGGGTGTGTTTGTGTATGTGTTTGTGTCGTTATGTTCGCTATACACAACTCCATAAAAAAAGCACGACTAACCAAACTGTTTCGTCGGACTTCCACCGACTCATCAGGAGGTTGAACCCCCGGTCTCACCATGTCGTGTGTGTGTGTGTGTGTGTGTGTGTGTGTTTGTGTGTGTGTGTATGTGCCATACACATGTGAAGTCGCAGTCGAGCGTCGCAGTGTAGAGTGGAGTAGTAAAGTCGAAGTCGAGCGTGGTAGTGCAGAGTGAAGTAGTAAGGTCGAAGTCAAGCGTAGAGTAGCCTAGGGGTCAATCTTTCCCACGCCGTGGGATTTGCCCGTGCCGCCACCAAAAACGTGCGCGCCGTGCGTAGGATTTTCCCGTGCCGCCACCCAAAAGGGCAGCCTACGGGAACCACTTTGCCCGTTGGGTAGCCCATGCACAGAAACGGCCTGCTCCAGCGGGCAAGCAAACCGGTTCCCAGCGAAAAGCCTCGATCGGGTCCTGCCTGATCAATCTGGGCCGTCGGGCCCAAGGTACCGGGCCAACGGCCTGGATTGATGCGTGATCTTAAGATCTTAAGACCGCGCTCCAACCCGGCCCGTCGATCCGGCAGGACCCGATGGCCCGGATGGCAGATTTGTTACATGATTCGGTCGATCTGGGCCGCGGGCCGGTAGGACCGACGACGGCCCGGACGTTAGATTTGTCACATTAGCGATTTTAATAGCGTAGGGATGCATGAGAAGTGTGAATGAGAGCAAGTCTGATTGCTGATTTTTTTTGGTGCTGTTTTTGCATGGTCATTGTTTGGCTGGCTGCTGTTTCCCTTGCTGCCTTATCCTGTTTGCTTAACCATTCGCCTACCCCGTGCCTTTCACCCAGCGTGCTCTGTTGTTTTGTGCTGTTTGCCTCGTGTCGTTTGTTTGCCCACCCGCCTCCCCCGTGCCCTCCATCCTGTTTCCCTTGTTGCGGCTTCTCGTTCTATGCCTTACTGGTTGTGTCTTGTGTGCCCTTGACCTTTCAGGCTTGGGATTGTATGTTTTTTCTGTCTTCCGTATGCCTAGTGGAAGGGTTGTCTATTGACTTGACTCACTCAGATGCGTGTTTCCTCCTGAAGTATTGTGTCAGTATGGGGCACAGTATCTGTGCCGGAGATGTTCGCCATGTGTCTTTGCACACACATCAACACACACACATGGGCACGCGCATGGGCACGCGGGTGAGTTGTCATATTCGCTATACACTCAAAAAAAAGCATGACTGTGCCACACTGTTTCGTCGGACTTTCACTGACTCATCAGGAGGCTGAACCCCGAGTCTGCCAGGATGCATTTGACTGATGGATAAGGACTCACCACATTGCCCAGAGCTAGCGATAGCCCTGAGAAAAGTGGTCCACTTCACTCACACCAACCTTGCAATCCTAGCAGACTGTCGGTCCAAACCCCTGACAAGAACGGCAGTAAATCTGAGAAACTAATCTGACACAGTCATAAAACCCACTCTACACACTCACTCAGCACGCGCGTGTGTGCTCTGCCATAGAGAGGCACCCAGATTGTGATTCAGAACTTCAATAGACCTACCTACATCCTTGTGCAGTGTCTTCACTTCCGTGTGATTTGCCACGGTGGCACCCACGAGTGCTGCGGTACAAGCGAGAGCAACATTCAACCTTGCATCATCCATCTGCACGTGAAAAGTAGGTAGAAGAGAAGGTAACCAGCGGTGGCCGTCAGAGTAGATTCTACAGTCCATAGGCATCCACGAGGCGCACTTCGAACCAAAGCACCATGCCAAAACAACCAACCACCAAACTTCACAGGCCAGGCACAAAACGGACTTCCATCTGAAAGTTCCCACAGTCATTAATGTGCTCCAAGCCTTAACCAAGCCAAGCACCAAAAGCACAGCGAACTCCCTTTGAAACCCTCCGGTCCACAATTACCTATGAAGGGCAGTTCTGAAGTTAAACATGTATTGCACTGGCAACCATGGAGACCTCCCATGTAGCAGGGTGCATTATTGATATCACTATGCTCGTTACCTCAACCACACTGATATTATCTATAGCATTCTTTTTTTTCTTTTCTTTTTTCAATCCATAGCATTCTTCCTCCTGTCCCAGCCAAAAACTCCAGTTAGCCATACAAAACCAACAGGACAAACTACTAAGACTTTCAAAGCCATGAAAGAAAATGGCAAAAGTGGAAACTGCTGCATTGACAGACACAAGCTTGGATAATAGCAAGCCACCTACACACAGGGTGAAAACTCGAGACGACCTATTGTCAAAGGTCAACCCTCCAGCCCTTCAGGACGTCCGTTAAAATTGGAGCGAAAGATTAGCATGGTCCCTGCACATGGATGACATGCATAAATCGAGAAAAGAGCCAAAATTTTTCAAAAAAAAAAAAAAAAGAAAGGCCATTCCTCCAAAGCAGGCAATGCAGGCCAACCGTGACACACAACTGACTCTTATAGGCCCAAACACACTTTTCCTAGACAGTTTCTCATATAGACTTATTGACCTTGGCCGACACACACTGGCTATACAGCAGATCGGCTCTCATAGCCTCTCAGAGCTCCTTGGCAACTAAACTGGATTTTTTGTAGGAGAACAAACAAGTACATAATAGAGGGCAGACTTAAGCGACTGTAAGTAAGCCGTCAGAGGCTTGGCAACTGCGACCTGGACACCGTGTAAACAATCACTACCTTCATGATTCGACCAAGTTCCACAAGCTTTATAAAACAATGGTAATTGAGAATTTAAATTTGTGAAAACCTAGGCTGGGCCGATGCCCGGCCGGTCAGGCCCGGGGGGGTCAGTCCGCCGAAACCAGGCGACACAAAAACACAGCAGAGTTGTTGTTTTTTTTTTGCTGGTGGGGTCCTGTTGCGCTCCCCCAGAGGACCCCGAATCCGCGGTAAAAAGTGAATTTGGGGAGGAGGAAGAGGAGGAAGAGGAGGAGGAAGAGGAGGAAGAGGAGGAGGAAGGAGGCAGAGGAGGAAGAAGAAGAGGAAGAGGAGGAAGAAGAGGAGGAAGAAGAAGAGGAAGAGGAAAAAGAGGAGGAAGAAGAGGAGGAAGAGGAGGAGGAAGAGGAAGAGGAAGAGGAAGAGGAGGAAGAGGAAGAGGAAGAGGACGAAGAGGAGGAGGAGGAGGAAGAGGAGGAGGAGGAGGAGGAGGAATAGGAGGACGAAGAAGAGGAAGAGGAGGACGAAGAAGAGGACGAAGAAGAGGACGAGGAGGACGAAGAAGAGGAAGAGGAGGACGATGACGACGAAGACGAAGAAGAGGAGAAGGAGGAGGAGGAGGAGGACGACGAAGAGGAAGAGGAAGAGGCTGAAGAGGACGAAGAGGAGGACAACGACGAAGAAGCTGAAGAGAAGGACGAAGAAGAGCAAGAGGAGGACGAAGAAGCAGAAGAGGAGGACGGAGATGAGGAAGAGGACGGCGAAGAAGAGGACGATGACATCGAGGAGGAGGAGGAGGAGGACGAGGAGAAGGGGGAGAGGAGGAGGAGGAGGAGGAGGAGGAGGAGGAGGAGGACGAAGAGGAAGAGGAAGAGGCCGAAGATGAGGAGGAGGAGGAGGACAAAGAAGCTGAAGAGAAGGACGAAGAAGAGGAAGAGGCGGACAAAGAAGAGGAAGAGGACGAAGAAGATGAACAGGAGGACGAAGAAGAGGAGGAGGAGGAGGACGAGGAGGAGGAGAAGGGGGAGGGGGGAGAGGACGAGGAGGA